ATTGTCCTGTTGGAAGGTGAACCTTCTGCCCAGTCTGAGGTTCTGGATGCTCTGGACTGGGTTTTCATTAAGGCTATCTCAATATTTTGGTGCATTGAGCTTTTCTTCTACTCTGACGAGTTCCTCAGTCCCTGCCACTGAAAAACAGCCCCTCAGCATGAGGCTGCTACCAGCACACTTTACTTTTGGGATGGTACTCTGCAGGTGATGAGCAGAATTGGTTTCGTTCAAACATGATGCTTGAAATTGAGGTTCATCAGACCAGAGAACATTATTTATCACAGTCTGAGGGTCCTTTAGTTGCTTTTTTGCAACTGTGCCTCCACGTCTTGTTTGCCACTGGGTAGAGAACTTGTGCAAAATCTCATGGGTAAAATATTTGGGTGAGATTCCCAATGTGACTTGATGGGAAAAAACTACAGAAGGACAAACACCACTGCAACACTCCATCTCCACATATGATCATGGAGCTCAACTAGAGTAACCATCAGGTTCTTGGTCACCACACCAACCAAAGCCCTTCTCCATCAGTTGCTCAGTTTGGCCAGGAGGCCAGCTCTAGGAAGAGTCCTGGTTGTTTCAAACATCTTCCATTAAGGGTAACAGAGACTACATACTTCTGTGAACCTTCAATGAAGCAGAATTTTTTTTTTAACTCCTCCCCAGATGTGTGGCTTGACGCAATCCTGTCTCTGAGCTCTACAGGCAGTTCTTTTGACCTCAGGGCTTGGTTTTTGCTCTGATGTTCATTATCAGCTGTTAAACCTTTTATTAAGATGTGTGTGTGCCTTTCCAGATCATATCCATTCAATTGAATTTGCCACAGGTTAACTTCACTCAAAGTGTAGTGACATCTACAAGCAATATGAATGATCCTGAGCTAAATTTTAACTGTCCCAGATAAGGGTATGAATACTTACGCAATGGAATCATTTACGTTTTTTATTTTTAATAAATTTGCGAAGATGTTAAAAACCTGTTTTTTGCTCTACCATTATGGTGTATGGAGTATAGATTGATGTGGAAAAAAAGTAATTTAAAGCAGTTTAGCATAAGGCAGCAATATAACAAAACGTGAAAAAAATTAATACTTTTACATACATACATACATAGCTATCTCTGTACGTACCATTGGCCATATGCTCCAGCGATCCCATGACAAGGCTGTCGTAGATGTGACCCCTGATCCTGTTTGTCAGGCCTTGGTAACGCTGGGTGTCTTTGGCCACATGAACAAGCACCTGAGCAAATGTATATCCACCTATGGAGAAAGCATGGACCAGTAGGGGGCGCTGTGAGAAGCGCTCGCTCTCTAATAATTCCAGCACATGGCCACCATACTCCAACCCCCAGCGAGGCCACAAGAACTGGCTCACCGCACTTTCCACTATGAGCACATCAAAGCCTGTGCGAAAGTAAATATCACAGTACTTGGCAATGGCCTGCGGTCTGGAGCCCAGCCATGGCAGCAACAGCAATATGGGTTTAGGGTGAACAGGTGAAACACTAGCCGTGGGAGTCCCAGCAACGTCATTGGCGAGGAAGGTGATGTGTTTACTGATCTTGTGAGCAGTGAACCCAGCCATGGTGGCCGCTCTGGAAAGCATGATAGCAGGTGAGCTAAAGAAAGGACACAGTGGAAAGAACAACAGATCACTTTTATTAAAAGTCACAGCTGACAAACTTACTCACGTGTCTGTCCCCTGGGAGAGAGCAATCTACAATTCATGAAATGCAAAATATTTAAGTGTTGCACATTAAATTGATCAAGTTGAAATGTAACACTGCATACAAAATAAAGCCTCTGACCAGGAGTGATAGCAGTCTGACTGAATTACATCAGTGAGGTAGTTTTGGTGACCGACTAAAAGCCTTTAAACAAAGTATTTGATAACGTTGACATTTTGTGAGAACTTCATCTTCAATATAAAACTGATCTGAACAATGCATTTTCTTGCACAATGCAAGGTCAAAGAACAAATGGCATGTGTTTGTTCCATGACTCTCAAACTACTGTCCAGCTGACCTTGACCTTTGAGCACAATGCTCTCACGAGACCAAGTCCACCTACTTGACTTACTGAGACTTTCTATTCCAACTTTAATGACGTGACGCTTCATTAACATGTTGGTATCTATAGCACTGAGCCTATACAGTGCTGATTCTCTGTCATTTTCAGTGCATAAAATGTAATCTGATTTTTATATTCAAAAAATATATTCAAATGTTTGTATTTTGATAGAGTATTAAATTGAGTATCATAACCCAATGTTATGTATGTAATGCACTCTTGGAAATGAATAAGAAACGGCAACAGAAACTTGGCTGAAAGTTCATAAAGCATGACTTGGCTAATTCATCTGTCTTATCCATATAAACCATAGGAAAAACATGGTACAAAATGGGTCAAAAATATGGTTCATTGTAGGTATAATGATTAAGCATTACACTTTTTATAACCAACCTCTGTCAAATTTAACACAACCCTGAACAATCACCGACAAACACACAAGAACTGGGCTGAGAGTTCAAATGGCTCATTCATCTGTATTGTCCCATACGTCAAGCTCATGGAATGGGTCTAATAATAAAAAATTGGTACAGTAAAAATGTTCAAAATAAGTACTTTCAAAGTGCATTACACTATGTATCATATCCCTTTACCACCGTTAACACATGCTCGAAAATTATAAAGAAATTCCAACCCGAATTGGGCAAAAAGTGCAATAAATGGCTCATTCTGTAGCTTGCCATGCCATATGTGTGTCGAATGTGTTGCGTCATTTAAGGTGGAAACGCAAAGCGTCAATAAGCAACAGCGAATAAATGGCTAGTGAGGAAGGTGATGTGTTTACTGATCTTGTGAGCAGTGACCCCAGCCATGGTGGCTGTTCTGGAAAGCATGATAGCAGGTGAGCTCAAGAAAGGACTAGACATGGGCCGATTACTGGTTTAAAGGTATACCGCGATTCGAACATTTCATGGTTTCAAAACCACTATGCACTAGGGCTGCACGATATATAGTTTCAGCATCGATATCGCTATGTGCACATCCGCAATAGTCCCATCGCAGGATGTGCGATGTTTAGTATAGGCTACTGATCGTTATATTTATACTGATTGTTTTCTTTGCTCACACACAGACACTGTGTCTACACCGGACGCGACAGCTGTACAGAGATACCCATTTTAAACACATTTAGTAGCAGAGCTACTGCATGCGATTTTCAGTGGTGGAAATCCATTTATCCTGTTGAAACTTCGGCGGCGGCGTGGAGAGCGCAGGTCACGGTTGCTTAGCAACGGCAGACGCACGAAAGCGCAAGCTCCCGAGCGCTTTGAAAAGAAGGAGAAAGCGGTACGACTGGCGTTTTCCCACGCGTTTTTAGGCGCGACATGTGAACGGCCCCAAAGTCTGTCTACACTGGACGCAACAAAGCGACCATTGCCAATCTTTCGAACTTCGTGTCAGTACGTCATTAAGGGCCTGTTTACACCTGGTCACTTCATGCGTTTTTTTTTCTGATCGGATAGCTATTTGATCGTGAAAAGACCAGGTGTAAATGCCCTCCGAAACGCATTCGAGACGGATATAAATCTGATCGCTCAAACCACTTCAGGAGGTGGTCTGGGACGCATTCCAGACGAAACTGAACAAGTGTAAATGCATCTTGTTGTTGAAACCACATATTCAAATTTTACTCCTCCCAAAACGTTAAAATAATAAACGTGTGAGAGCGTGTTATAGGCTATATGGCATTATAGTCAGATATGACAGCGCTAATGCACCACGCATTGCCGCGGACGAGTAGCTGAGCATCTCTTCAGCAAGCCAACGCGCAAACTGCCGCAAATGAAACTGAAAGTAAGACGCAGACGCTCAACACACAATCATCTTCATTAAAAGTAGTGTGACTAACCTATCTTTCCAGTTCTGATGCCGCGTGCTCTCCTATTGCGGGCTTTGATCTTGAAATGATAATTAATAAAAATGCAGCGCTTATCTTTTGATTTAGTTGACGTGAACTCCTTTAAATTTAAATATAGCGCGGGAATTGAAGATCGGATTGATATCCGTTTTGCAACAACACGTTTATGTGGCCAAGTGTAAATGGAAACGTTTTAACAAATAAGATAGATATACGATCAGCGAAAACGCATGAAATGACCAGGTGTAAACCGGCCCAAAGAGAACGCGACATCAGTTTACTGTCAGGAGTTGGAGCTAAACTCTGCAGGAAAGTGGATCTCGCGAGCCAGATTTGAGGATCACTGATCTACTTCAAAAGCTGCAGGACAGCCCACAATCCAGCAAACATTTGAGAAACAGATCAAACAAAAAAGAAACAAATTACTGTTCCAAATATTCTGTATGTAGCTTAAAAATAAAATATTCAATTTAAAAAAACAAATTTTTTACCCAGACATTTAAAAATAAGTCATTTTAGAGCTGTAATCTCAATACTGTGAAACCGTGATGTTTTTGCTTAAGGTTATCATACCGTCAAAATCTCATACCGGCCCTTGCCTAAAAAAAAAAACAGTGGAAAGAACAACAGTTCACATTTATAAAAGTCACAGCTGACTCTCATACCAGCCCATGCATAGAAAGGACACAGTGGAAAGAACAACAGTTCACTTTTATAAAAGTCACAGCTGACTCAAACTTACTCACGTGTCCATCGGCACCAAAGAAATCTGCTCAGTGCCATCTGAACTCTAGAAATCTGCCTTTTAAAGAAATATCTAATCTTCTGGATGAACGACATGCTGTATTGCCTTAATTCTTGCAATTGTTTTAGTAAGATCTGAATCGATTAAAACAGAGCGTTTCTGAGCCCTGCTACTCAGACACTGCTATTTTTGGATGTGTTCACAATGTACCTGACAGACCATGGTGAATAAACCCTCTCCCCTGGGAGGGAGCAATCTACAATTCATGAAATGCTAAATATTTAAGTATTGCACCATTAAACTTTAAGTAACACTGCATATAAAATAAAACCTCTGACCAGGAGTGATAGCAGTCTGACTGAATTACATCAGTGAGTTTTGGTGACAGACTAAAAGCCTTTAGACATACAGTATTTGATAATGTTGACATTTTGTGAGAACTTCATCTTCAAAAATAAAACTGATCTGAACGATGCATTTTCTTGTGCCTGTCATTTGTGCATGTCAGATTCCAACAAACTATCAATTAAAATAAATGAAAATCAAATTTTTTTACAGTGTTAAATTTGTATTTACTTATTGCCCTCTTATTTATTTTAGGTATAGTTCCAGAATGTTACTACCATATTTAAATATGCTAATTATTTTAATTATTGTATTTCATAACTCGGTTAACAGTTTTGAGGATACCTTACTCTAAAAAAAAAAAAAACGCCAAGTAATTTTCAACATGTTTGCCACATCTAACAGCAACTGACTTGTCATAAAACTCATAAAGGGGCATTACAAGGTTCTAGGCATGTGACGGTATTAAATTTTCATGTTGCAATTAATTGCTAATGCTTTTATCACGGTATACAGTATTATCACGATATTGAAATTTTGTTGCAAAAAAAAAAAAGTGTTGTCAAAGTATAACAGGTTTAATTTTTTCTTATAACAAAAAGAAACTGAACATTTAAATACAATAAAGCAATACACAAAAATAGTATGAAGTAAATTTCACACAGATTAAAGTGCAAAAGAATTAGAAATACCAATAGGTAACACTTTACAATAAGATCTCATTAGTTAACGCACTAACATTGACAATGAGCAATAGCTACATTTGCTACAGAAGTTATTAATCTTTGTTTAAAAAAACAAAAAAACAACTTGTTAATTCATGTTAGCTTGAGTTCATTAAATAACACAGTAGCAACTTTTGATTTTAACGTGTTATTAAATATTGAAATTAACTAAGATTAATGAATGTTTAGAAGAATTTTTCATTGGCAGTTTATGTTTTACTAAAAAAAATTAACTAATGTTAACTAATGGGGCCTTAATGTAAAGTGTGACTGAACAATAAAGAATCAAAACATTTTCAAACAATATCTAGGGCATGTTGTAGTCCAGATTAAAATGTAAAAAAGTTTGAAAATAAATAGCCTATTAGGTCTAAATATGTAAGTATTTGGCGCTGTGATGAACACCATAGCGAATACACAAAACTGAATGGCTGTTTAAATCATTTAAATAGGTTTCAGAAAGAAGGGCTGCTCAGCTGCTTTGTTTCCGGGGCAACGGCTGCGTTTCTGCTGTTCAGCGCCACCTGCTGTCAGAGAGTGAATGTGCGCTTTCATTCAGCACCTCACGCGCTTCTCATCCGTGCTTGTTTACACGAGTGCGCAGCGGTGTTGTGCATTGTGACCAGTTGATGGGTAATGCATTCAAAAAATCTGAATAATTTGTAATAAATAATTATTCACGGTATATTGAAGTGCCTATGATAACAATATTGTGCATGTTCATTATCGTGATATATCACAATACCGAATACCAGCACATGTCTACAAGATGCACATGATCTAAGTTGATGTTATTTTTTTTCCTCTGAGAGTTCACAATTTTTTCTTTTACCTAAACAATCTTATGTAATGGAGAACATCCAAAATATGTAGCACTGGGGGAACTCCCAACAGCAGGATGGACAAATACAGATGAATGAATGTGTGTGATCAAAGAACAAATGGCATGAGTTTGTTCCAAAACTCTCAAACCACTATCAAGCTGACCTTGACCTTTCAGCACACGTGAGAGCACAACACATACGTGCAAACCTCCCACATGCTCTCACAAGGTTAAATCTAGATACTTGACTTACTGACACTTTCTATTCCAGCTTTAATGACATGACGCTTCTTTAACATGTTGGTATCTATAGCACACAGTGCTGATTCTCTGTCATTTTCAGTGCATAAAACGTAATAAACGTTTAACTGACCCTCGAACTTACCAAAAATAAGGACTATAAAAAAATATTCAAATGTTTGTATTTCAATAGAGTCTTAGATTGATTATCACAACCCAATGTAATATAGATTGAATATCATAACCCAATGTCATATTTAATGCACACTTGAATATGAATAAGAAACGCAACAGAAACTTGGCTGAAAGTTCATATAACATAGTGATGTTGTATGAATAGTTCTTTTTGAACGAATCATTTAGGTGAACGAATCGTTCTCGTTCACGTAAACCATTGACTCAAATTTCTCGTTCACTGAAATCCCTCCCTCCAGAGCAGCACACGCGCAGCTCAGTGAACCGGGTAGCTCTGGGGACTGTTAATCCTGTTAAAGAATGACTAAACCTCGAGCCAATAGCCTTCGAGTATGAGATGTGATGCAGCATGTGATTTATTGAATGTAGTGACCGAATACGCCATTCACTGACCGAGTTGCTTTTGAGTCTGAACATGATCTTCTCGCTCTTGAATGATATGACTGAACTGGTACATGTCGTTCTTGAACGAGTTCAGCGAACTGGTACATGTCGTTCTTGAATGAAATAAATGTGTACCGGGTAGGTCGGTCATTCAGCATGCGAGTCAATCGGTTTCAGCAATCAGCAGAAAGCGGATGCAAAGCGCAGTTATAGGTACTGTGCACATATGCTTGTTTACATATTCATATTTAACATACAGAACATAACTCCACGTTTAACATAATCCCAGATTTATGAATGTGTAAATGTCTGACCAAACAATTAAAATGTTAATTATGCAAGAAAACCTTGTGCTTTGGTCATCTGAACCACTTGGTACAAAATGGTTCAAAATACGGTTCATTGTTGGCATACTGATAAAGAATTACACTTCTTATCAACCTCTGTCAAATTTAACACACGCAACCTTGAACATAACGCGCACAAGACCTGGGCTGAGGGTTCTAATGACTCATGGGTCAAGATCATGGGTCCAATAAAAAAAAATGGTACAGTACAAAATAAAATGTTTCCAAGTGCATTACGCTATGTATCATATCCCTTTATCACTGTTAATACATCCTCGAAAATGAAAGAAATTCCAACCCGAATTGTGCAAAAGGTGCAATAAATGGCTCATTCTGTAGCTTGCCATGCCATATGTGTGTCGACTGTGTCGCGTTATTTGAAGTGGAAACGCAAAGCGTCAATAAGCAACGGCGAATAAATAACTGTAACGTTATTCAGTACCGTCATGGTTATGGTCTTATGGTCCAAAGATAAGCATATCTTGCCTGTTTTCTTCTCTATGTATCATATCCCTTTATCACTGTTAATACATCCTCGAAAATGAAAGAAATTCCAACCCGAATTGTGCAAAAGGTGCAATAAATGTCTCATTCTGTAGCTTGCCATGCCATATGTGTGTCGACTGTGTCGCGTTATTTAAAGTGGAAACGCAAAGCGTCAATAAGCAACGGCGAATAAATAACTGTAACGTTATTCAGTACCGTCATGGTTATGGTCTTATGGTCCAAAGATAAGCATATCTTGCCTGTTTTCTTCTAGCATGCTTATTCAGTTTAATTCCTTACATTTATATAGCGCTTTTCCGGGCACTCAAAGCGCTTTACATAGAAGTGGGGGAACAATGCATTTGCTCTAAGGTCAGTCTCAACACGATGATCCAACTCATGTTTTGATCCTAAACAAACCCCAGACTAAAGATAAGCATATCTTGCCTGTTTTCTTCTAGCATGCTTATTCAGTTTAATTCCTTACATTTATATAGCGCTTTTCCGGGCACTCAAAGCGCTTTACATAGAAGGGGGGTAACAATGCATTTGCTCTAAGGTCAGTCTCAACACGATGATCCAACTCATGTTTTGATCCTAAACAAACCCCAGTCTCAAAATAAACCTCGATCATCAGGCCTGATCATCCACTGCTGTCTGGATGATGATTATGATATTCGATGCCGCAAAAACACATAAAACCATGCTCATTAAAATATGCTAACACAGTTAGCCGCATTTTTGATTAAACAAGTTCTAATGTCAAAACACAAGCTTAGGAAAACGTTCGGAAGATAAGCCTGGAGTTTTGCTCCACTTTACGCGGAAATATTCAGTTATTCATTATATTTAGCAGCCTGTTATAGTGTGAGAGAGATTACATGTTGATATGACTAACGTTAGCTGTCGCGTTAGAAACGCCAAACGAAATGATAAAACCATAACAACTCGATTTTTCTTTTACATAAACTATCTCAGATCTCTACTGGTCAAACTAGGTGTAAACAAACTAACGTTATACGTTAAAAAACAAAAAAAGAGCTCGGATATGAGCGTGTTTTTACCTGCTGCCGACAGGACTCGCGAGCTGAGGCAGATGCTGCCGTGCACGAGAACCGGTTGGTCGGCACTGTTGCCAACTCTCGCAAGATAAATACGCAACCGCAGCTTAAAAAACAAGCCCAGTATTTTTCATTATTTATCATCAATATTATTTATTATGAATTATTTATTACCAATAAGTGAACATGCAACATATTAAACTGAACCCACTCTTTTATCTGAAAAGCAAAAACAGATATGTTATTTTACAAAAATCAGCAAACTGCAACAAAGTGAGAACAAAACTCATCTCCAATCACCTGTGAGCAGAATATGATTGGAGAGATGGTAAAGTGTGTCCCTTTGCTTAGGGCTGTTATGTCCCGGTGTATTCCGGGTGGTGTAGTCGACTATAGGATTTCTCTTATTGGTAATTTTCAAACTCTTGACCACTTACTGCCACACAAGCAACCATCTTTTTTTTTTTTTTTAAATAAGCCCAAAAAACCGCAACCCGGGATTTTTTTTACGCAACTTTACAAAAAAAGGAGCCCAAAGTCGCGTATAATACGCGGACTTGGCAACTATGTTGGTCGGGGACACTCTGCGGCGGGCGCGTGCAAAGTGAGGTATAGACCCAGTATGATTGGCTGGCGTTACCC